GCGCCTTTTATGTTGAGATAATCAAGGTGTTTGCTCATTCTTTTCAGGAAGGTAGCTAAGTTTTTGATAAACTTAGCCCTGACCACGTTTTTCCAGATCAAGCGGTCGAGTTCCAGGGATTTGATGCTCAGGGATACTAGGCGACTGTTACATTTACACAGGTGTGAAAGAAGACCTCTCATAGTCACTTGAAATTTTTGAGTAAAGGCAGTATTGTAAGGATTTGGTAACTTGATCTCAAGGTGCTCCAAATACTTGCCAAATTTCTTGACATACCACAATGAACTTTGAAACTCCAGTGTGTGTGCCCTTGATGGTCGGCCATAGAATGTGATGGTTCTGCTTCTCCAGAGGGATCCCGAGTACATGGCCCAACTCCATTTTTTACAGACCAAGGCAGCCTGAGATCTGTCCCTGTCACCTAACCAACGGAAGACATGCCTCAGACAGACATCAGGCAGATGAGCCCAGGAGCTCTGCTCAGGTTCACTGTTGTCTTCCATTGAGAAGACAGTTCTTCTCTTCTGGGTGTTGAGCCAAACCTAGATGAAGAAAGCTGTGGGTAGGTTTCTTGCCATTCCCAACAGAACAGGCTTCCAAGCAAATGGATCAAAGTTTGCTTCTTCACATTTAAAACCAACAAGCCTTTCTCTGCCTCTGTACTCAAGCTGTCAGGGTCAAACAAGCTCTTGGGTTTAAACTATAGTCTAACCTAAATCAAAAGAAAAACCCCCAAGAGTGAAGAACAATCACAGTACCAGCACAGGACACAGCTTTTAACTTTTTTGCCTTCAGTCTAGCTAAACAGTGAAATGGTATCAGCTGCTGCTAGAGCAGCCACAGCCTCTAGAAAACTTTGCTTAGCATCAGCTGCAATCGAATGGTTTGTGGCCTGGTGTCTCTTGTCTAGAAGTATCCAGTGCTTTGGGCTGTACACATTTGAACAGTACTGTCAGCAAAAAACTAGTGCAAATTTCTTATCCTTCTGGGGTACTTCTCCATGACAATCATCTGAGGTAGTACCCTGCCATAGATTAAGGTACAGTGCCTATTGAGAGTAATAAGCAATATAAGCTGTTCCACCACTTGGATCAAGCAGGATGTTCAGTCTTTGTGCTCCAATGGACAGGGAGAAGGCTGGCAAGTCAGAAGACCACCTAGGTAGTGATAAAACACGTAAGTAAACAACCACAATGCACGAAGTTACCTGTTCCACTCTCAAGGCTGGACTGTTTAAGTATTCAGCTCCCTGCACACTTTTCCAGTTCTCATAGTCTCCCTCCAGAGTTCAAGATGTTTTCCCTACCTCTGACTCCTCCCTCTGCAAAGTTCAGCCATTGCCATGGAGCAAAGAGCTAACGTTTGTGATGTCATAACAACAGAATTTATGCAAGGGCAAACAGTGAACAAAGCTGACTTGAGCCAAGTCAGTCATTTGGGCTAAGGTGAAGACAGTAAAAAGGAAAAGTAGACTTGTTTAGTAGTCTCTTAGGAAGTGAGAAATACAGGCCACACTCTACAAGCCAGGTGCAGGCGATATGTCATGTCTTGTCACTTTTCACTGACCAGATAAATGGATCAAGTGGCTGAGCAATAAACAGCCAAGAAGGGAAGTGATGCATTCTCCGTCTTTTCAGCTACGAATTGCAAACTTTAGCTGTGAAATGCAAACTACATCCCACTGGCCCATTAGGTCCTTGGTTTCATAAGGCCTTTTAAAGACCAGGCTATTAGTCGGCTCTGTGAATGGCCAAAGCGCATAGAAAGTGAGTATTTTGTTAGCACCTTTGCAGCAAGGCAAAAATTCAGAATGTATTTACTTCCTACCTCTATAGTACACGTGTCTACTATGTCCACTTGGTATATCACTCCTTAGCTCTTGGGGATGAAACTGGAAAAAAAATCTAGTGATACTTTATGGTCTACTCCAAAATCAAGGCTTATTGGCTGACAGGACTACAAGAACAAAAGTACGTGATGCCAATCTCCAGTCTACCTTTCCTCCTCTGCCTGTGCTGTTCTGTTTGGTAACAATTTGAAATGGATGGCAACAACAGGGGCACCATAAGCAGACGAACAAAACATGCAGATCTCCAAAAGTCTGTTTACAACTACAAAGGCTCAGATATTTCTATTTTAATTTCATAAATTGGCATGAAAGAACAGACTGACTGCCCGGTTCAGCTTCAGCCTGCTGCTTCCCTTTTGGCCTACAGTTCTTCTGTCACACATTATCTCTCTGTCTGTATATGCTGTCTGTTCAATGAGCACTATGTGTATTCTTAGGGATTCCCCCTCCCATTCAAAATGCCAGTCCCAATCCCCAGCTCTGAAGATAACCTTTAGAAACTGAGCATTACCACCTGACTCCACCTCTTGCATTTAGTACCTTCCTCCCACAAGCTCTTTCTTTTGCAGAACTGTAAGTCATTTAGAAGGTCTTTAGACAAATTACTCCATTTTGCCTGTCCAGACAAAGATCCAAGCCAAGTCTTAAAATATGGTGGCTCGAGCTGCAGTTTACTAGTGAGAAGAACCTGAAACTTTCCCTATGGAGACTGGGGAAGGCAAGCGGCATTAACACATCTGCAACTACCTGGAAGCCATAAAGTCAATAGGCAGAGAAAAGCAGAACAGCACACAGAGCTGTAATACATAGAACACGTCTATTAATAAGGGATACTTACTGAGCTATAGTCACCCACATTATCTCGTGTGAATACAAAGCAGTGCAAACACCATCATGTGGAACTTTTTTTAAAGCATAGCTATTCGGAACTTACAGGAGGTATGCTTATAGTCAAAGGTGGGACTCCAGCAGTATCTTGCAGCTTCCCCATGGCTCCAAGCCAAGGCTTAGCTATGGAGGTGTCGCTAGCTGTCAACCCTAAGTTTAACAGGGCGGGGGGGGGAATTTTAAAGATAAATACTTTGCATGTCTTGTTTTCCTCTAGCGTAGAATAAAAAAACCCCCACAAAATAAACCAAAAAGAAACCCAAACCACATTCTCTGCACTTGGCCTTTCTTTGCTGCCTCATTTGCAAGAGGACATCCCAGATGGCTTCCAGTACAACACTGTGCAGTTACACCACCGGTCTCCTCCAACAAGAGCTACACAAGCCACTGGAGCAAAAGCAAACAAAAACCTTCCAAAACTCGTAATTAATTACCAGAAGCAAAAGCAGCTGTGGCTTGGATACCCAAGTGGGCAATCCTTCTGCTATGCCTGCTGACGTGGAGCTCTAGGCCACAGATCCGCAAAGGCACCAACACCGCGGGGCGGGGGCACAGTCGCCATCAGCGTCTCCATAGCACCTGCAGCTGTGCTGCGGAACGGGCACCTGCGGCTCCCCCGGGAAACACGCC